ATTGGTCGACATGTCTGGACTTAAATAAGGTAACAGTTTGTATCACCTCCAGTTTCTGCTGATTGCACTTCATTTCTTCAAACTGCCAAGACACTGCTGCCACTGTGACTTCCCGYTGCAACACACTACAAATAACCCGTAATTTCACTATTGTTGTAATGAACACACAACTTGTTTCAATCGACTTTATAAAATTTTTGATATATAACGCGCGCTTTGATTGGCTGACGACCGTGTTTATATCAGAGGACAGAGACACGACTTACCGGCAAAATTTGCTTTTCGCTCAAAAAATTTTATAAAAGAAATATAAAACGGCCGYTTDTGTCTCTGTCCTCTGATATAAACACGGTGGGAGTTGAAAAACACTCGAGAAGCAAGAGAAACACTCGCTACGCTCGTGTTCCTAAGCTTGCTTCTCTCGTGTTTTTCGAACTCGCTACGCTCGTGTTCCTAAGCTTGCTTCTCTCGTGTTTTTCGAACTCCCACCGTGTTTATATCAGAGGACAGAGACACGCGAGTCGTTTTATATTTTGTTAAATAATAAACAAAATAGTGAACACAAAAGCCTCCCTCTCGTCATCGTCAAGAATAGGTTTGTTTTTCTGATTTTGAATACAATTGCCCCACTCTACCCTACCCAAATATACGTACTTGCAAACCCAAGCCTTAACACACCATCTATTGTTAATAGATACGTGTTACTGTCAATTCAGTTTTAGCAATTAYGTGTGGCAGCCAACTCATTTGCCATCACAATGTTTGCCACATGGAGTAAGCATTATTTAATTAACTTAGCCTAGAATATATGACTTATTGTACAGTTATATTCACCATAGCAGCTCTCTACCATCTTCTTCGACTTGTTTTAGGTTATCCATTTCAATCTTGAGGTCTCTTTTCTTTTTGACATATGAAAAAAGATTAACGTTGAATGAAATAATTTATCAGTTGAGATTAACCAAGTCCCAAAATCAAATGTCGTTTCAGAAATTCAAAAGGGGTATTAATTAGTGTTATTTTCAAGTTTCATTGGCTCCATTTGGTGGAATATACCAAACGAGTGGCATTTTTTTAAATTTGAAAGAAAAAAAAGTGAGAATGTATGCTTTTTGAGCACGCTGCTCCAAAGTCCCGGTTATCCATTCTTAGTTGCTTTTTCGATTCAAAGCTTGCCGCTTTGTAATTTTGTGTCGGAATACGTACAAACTAAGTGAACATCCTAATATTASTAATACTATAGTGATCTTTCTTGTTTTTCTTTTCTAACTGTCGAGATGCTGACTTTCATGAGTTTTGGAAAGGCCAATGAAAGCGGAAACAATGAACAATTCGCAATCTTTCAAAAGTGCTTGTTTTTCCAATAAAAAGTTTCTGGATTCCCATTAATTTCTTCAGAAAATACCGAGAGCTTTASAGCGGTTTTGTTTTTCGTTTTTAGTATAATTCTTTGACGCCATATTTGTATCTGTCCAGCCAAACAATCCATGCATGCTTTGCGATCACATTTTGCGTTCGGGCCCGCTACTCGTTTTGTTATCGGCGAATTGCATATTTTGGATCTGCTTTACGGCAGGTTTTGTGGTTTTGTTTCATCATAACAGCCAAGGGACTTGTACTCAGTCTCCCACGGTGAATACATTGTCATGATTCTGTACTTTGCACCATGACACAAATGTCATTCTGGGGTAAACTTATGTCCCAGCATTTCTTAATAATTTCAAAAGACGTGCTCAAATTCTGGAATTATCCACATGCCGCCTGTGCTTGATAACAGTATTTTAAGACGTAAATACACAGGTGTAGTTCAATTTACAWTACATTGAAAGAGAAAAATGTGCTTAACTCACTTTATGCTCAAGCTGCTGTTCTAGAATCTGTAGTTCTTGTGACAATAAGGTTTTCCTTAAGATAAATCATCAAAATTAATACTTCAACATCAAAAATGAGACAGTAAAAAGCTGAATAATAAATATCAAAATGAATGAGAAAATGAAAACAGGACTAGATAAATAACAAAAAAATGGAAATGAAAAAAAGAAATGGAATAAAGAAATTATCTATTGCAAATAAATGAATGAATACAGATTAATCAAATGAATCAATGGACAATTGGACAAATGAAACAAAGGTGTATGAATGAACACATTTAAATGAACAACTGAGTGAAATCAAATCATCATGTTTATAATAAATAAGTTTTAGTTCTCCAGTGGCTTCCAATGATATCRGAAATCACTTACTTGTGGGACAATTTCTCATGTGTCAAGTCATTCAATACTAGTTTGTCAGGCTCAAGATCTTTGGAAATATGTTCATTCAAAGTTGGCTCAAAGATGAATGGACACATTGGACTGTTTTTTCTGCAAATACACAAATAAAAAATGAATACATTATAAATAAAATGGCCGCACTTTTCAATAATCAATTAACTATGAAACTACAAAATCTAAAATGATTATAAAACAAATACATGCCTAACATTACAGTCATATGGGATTTGCTTCCTATAGAAAARTGATTTTTCAATTTCAACACTTCGAAGATGATTGGCGAATGCAGTAAATAAACTGAAACTTTTGATCTCACGACCTCATAGTGACAGCGCTTTGTGATTTATTTTGAAAACTGTTAAGTTAGATTAGCCAGGGTTTTGAATTATTAATTAGGGGACGTTTTGTAAAACTCTCTTGCAGGCCCTTCCTTTTTCTCCTCCCCATTCTCCGCTCGGCCCTCCCCAATCCCTTTAGTGCCGCTATGCAGGCTAACTTCTCCTATTTTTAAGATGAAACTTACTTGTTTTCTGAAGTGAAATTGTCATACTCTGTTGCTTTATCTATTTCATTGATTGCATCATGRACATTTTTACTAGATGCTGCAAACTCCTCTCGGCAACCATCAGTGAATTTGTCAAAGTCATCAAGAATTCCCTTCCTGTCATACGTAACAATAGCATATTAAATGATTATTATAACAAATAATTCATGATATACTGTATGGTACACATTGCACTTTCAGCTTTTTTCAAAAAAGAAAGCATTGGATACTTAGTTCTCATACTCATTAATTATTCATGAGGTATCCAGCCAATCCCTGATTGTTATTTGTACCACATGCAGTAACTGGAAACYAGAGGAAGAACTCCTAGCTTGTATTCTACTTTATTTCTAATTACTTCTGCAATTTTTCCAGTTACTTCTACCTTGCTTCCAGCTACTACTTGCTAATGATAATCAATTTTTTTAGATATGATTTAAGAATTAATTTAGCAAAAAAAGGTCTTTGATATATGACTGCCTCATGAAATGAACCCCAACCATCYGGTCTAAATGCAGATGCGCCATCTTATACCATTACACCACTGAGTTTCTGGTGCAATTAATCGAAAGAAAACTTACTAACTTTTTTACTAAAATCTTATGAATTAGGCTCATTGGGAATGCCATGAACAGCCAAAAAGGAAAATTTGAATAGCTTTTGTTTCAAAAAGCCATTCAAGAGTTGAAGAACAATAAAAGGTGCTATATGTAAGTCGTGTATTCAACATTATGAAAACTAAAAACCTGGGTTTATATTTCTGAATATGCATTTCTCTCTCTTTTTTCCCCTCCGAATAATTTTAATTAAAATGAGTATGAGAAGTCATTCATTACATAGTGTACCATAATTTCAAGACCAATTAAAATGCATTGTTGTTTATTGGACCACATATTCATTAACTGTGACAATCCCAATTCACTGTTTTCTCAGACAACTATARTAGCTGTATATATTATGCACAAAACAAATCCAGTGTCGGTTCCCCACCTCCCTTGGCAATACACCTTTTCTGTGATACAGTCATGGAGGTCTGCATTCAGTAAAAACAACACCATATCTGTCTGCATGAACAGTAGATCATGTTTATACCAAAATTAGACTGAACATTATGCATAATGCTATTTCAGAAAAGGCCTAATGCGGTGTTCTTACCATTCACCAACGTAGCTCTCTTGCAGGTTTTGCATGTACTCCAACATTGTAGGTACAATAGAGTTATAATAGCATTCCTGATGCACATTAGACGATATCAGAGAAAGCACATAGTCGTTGTGATTTTGATGGAGTTTAAGGGTCATCTTAACAAATTTGTCTTTATATTTTTCCCACTCCTTTTGTGAAGTCTTTTCTTTGTTGACTACTTCCTCATACTTAGATTTAGCATTGGTTGATTCTTTGGAGTTATCACGGTAAGTCCGTCTCAAACGATCAATCTCATCAGATTCTTGTTTGTATTCACTGTCAACACGAAATCGTTCATTTGAATATCGCTTTAGTAGGTTCTTTCTGTCTTGTATGAGCTGGTCAAGTTTGCTGAAGGTATTGGTGCTGATGTGTGTTGAAAACTGGTTGATAAGCTGTGCCTTTGTATCACTTTCTTTGAGAAATGTAGCCCAAGCCTAAATCAATAAACAAAAAGTGCATATCAAACATAAGGCACTGTTCATAAATTCAGGGATGCCAACCCCCGAACTTTTCAATTCTTGAGAACGAAAATGATGACTTCATAACGGAAATGACGTTTCATAACATTATCGATGACGTCATTGCATTTATCAAATTTCGTTATAACTAGTGATTTGACTGGATGTATCTTAACCAATCATATTATAGATTGTATTGTGCAATTGAAAATGGCCGCGGATGGCGTGCAGTGTTATTGTTATCAGAAGACTGGGATTTTTGTATTTTTTCAGAACTAAAATGATATGCAAGGTAATTTGAGTTTTAATAGATGAAAAGAGATATTCCAAAAAAACTGATATATGAATCGTCATTATCCGGGAGATTTAGCGGTAAAATCTTGAGACCGGGGGAAATGGTCGAAAATCTTGAGACTCCCGGATTATCCGGGAGAGTTGGCATCCCTGTAAATTGTTGTCAAAAAAGCAAAACAGATGCACCCACTACCAATCACTTTACAAAAAAAATATATTAAACCTTAGTAAAAGGATCACAATATTTAAATAACAATTAAAATATCCTATGTTTCACTTTGATACGTGATTATAGTTTTATAATATGATTGTGTATCAAATTAACCAATTATCACCTATCAAAATGACTGGCATCTACCCCCTAATAACAGTCTTTTTTGAAAAATGTACCCCCTGTCTAAACAAATAAATAAATAAATAAATAAATAAATAAATCGACTTTATTTTACGAGGGTAACACATGACAGTAAAGAACTGATGAACTTGTGGCCCTCACACTCACTACCTCTACATTAATTATTTTAGCACACAACACTCCTCACATGTTGATTTTTACTGAGGGAGGAAAACCGGAGGACCCGGAGAAAAACCCTCGTGGCAAGGGAGAGAACAACACATCAAACAAACTCAAACTCACATATGGTCCGTGCCCAGGAATCGAACCAAGACCACAGCGGTGAGAGGCCAGCAGCTTAACCACTAGACCACCCTTGCCACCCTAAACATYCCCCGCTCTTTGCATAATTAATGAACAGTCCCTAATCAAAAGGCAATCTTCACAACTGTAACAGTTGTCATTGTTAGGACAGTAAATTTCCCTACTGTGAAATATTTATTCTATTGAGCCAATCAGAATGCATCAGGTGTGTTGGCATTTACTTCCTTGTGTGACAGCAATCTGTAACATTTAGATAAACATTTATAACAAACAAACTAACCATGGCCAATTGATGATCTGAATCGTAATTTGTTCATATTTTAAGAAATTATATCGATCTGGAWCAAATTTCAACCTTCAAATATAATCCTAATCAGATGTATTATTAACTATTTCAAATTTATAAGCTTAATTCTTGGATTAAGAGAATTGATTGATTGAGAAAAGGTATAGCTGAAGAATCGAGTTTCTAGTTCCGAATTTACTTAGAATACCGAGACATTTCTAAGAAACATAAGGCTTAAAACCTATTTAATTTCAGTTATATATAGCATACCGCCACATCGACCACAGTATGTAATTATGTGCGGGTAAAATACATACCTTTCGTATTAAGCTTGCCTGGTCACCGTCTGGCATAGCATTGCTGGCTGACGCGTTTATTTTACTCAAAGCTGATGAGTAATCCCTTTCAACTTTCAATCTCTTTGTCATGTAATGTTTCATGTGTTCCAGAAGCTTCACTTCGTTTTCATTCAACTTGACAATCGCCTCGTGGCCAGACTTCGATAGAAGATCAATGGCGAATTTGGGTTTGTGTGCAACACTAGCCATTGTTGCTGCTTTGACTCTATCAGAGGCACATAACTTTACGAAATCATTGCTAGTACAAAGTGAATAGCATATGAAGACCACCGCTTCACTATTTCTGTGCTCACATGTCAAATTTAATTCTGTTTCCGCCCAAGTAAAACCAAAACATCACTCGCAATGCATTATGGGAGGAGAATGACAGCAAAGAGCTCTGGGTGATTTTAGTATACACAGGAAGCCCACGCACTATTAGAAATATAGACTAATTGAATTAATCGGCGTAAAAATATAAAAAAAATAAGGAAAAGAAGGAAGATTTGACACAACCTMCGAGCCAGTACTCAACGCAGTCTCCTTTCTGGATGCACCTTGAMACCACTGTCATTGATAACATACATTTGCACGTGAACGTTCATAYATGTTGAATTGAAATATACGGATCGGCGTGTGGACAATCTTGAAATCTGAATGAAARGAAAGCCTATGTTTTTCAAAACTGGATACAACGAGACTTGCCCTCAATGCAACCAATAACTATTTCAATATTAAAACGATATGGTCTGATTCACGTACACAATTTGTATAGGAAATCGCACGACATTGAATGCAATTACAATTTAGAATTAATAGAGGGTCTCAATGGGGTGGTACGTATCACGACTCACGGCTAAAAAWTTGGCGATTTCACGACTCACGACTATTTTTTTCGAATCACGGTTAACTAGATTAAGAAATTTTTGAATTACGTTTTTCATTACTTTTTCTTTTTTTTTCGTATCAATAGACTGCGTGACTTATTCGTACGGACATGGATTTTCTCTTTCAAATAAGTCGAAATGCGAAATTTCCACGAAAAAATGATTAATCATAAATCCATACACAAGAAAAATCCAAAAAGTGTTAGCAGGTATTGAGAACATAGTAGTGACATTGAGCTGCATTCCGTGTCTGACATCGGAGTTTACGAAATTTCATAAGTGTCGCTTTTCGCGATGATGTATTCTATGCCGGGCTAAATGTGCATGGTAAAATCAGGAAGTTTGCAGCGTATTCATATTATTATTTGACTCTAAACAAAGTTATAGTATTTTAAAATCGAGCAGATTTAGTTTCTTGTCACACTCAGCGTGACGCAGGCACTAAATGAGTGGGAGTTTTAAAATGTACAAAACAAATCCCAAAAATACTATCTAAGAAAGAAAACACCTTTTATAACTAATTACAGTATTTTAAAATCGATATCTTATCTAATTACAGAAAATGTCAGAATATATACAATGTCTATACGAATAGAAAACATAATTCGTCCACTCTGTTTAAAAATTGATTCTCGGCTGCGCAATCGCCTCGCTGTGAAAACCTATTATACGTTTAATGAAAAAAAAGCCAATGAAAGCGCGCTTTAAAATATCCCATTATAGAAATATATAGAAATAATTACTAAATGATTCTGGAGATATTGCAAACAATCATTAATGTAGGAAGCTAATCAAAGACAGCAACAAAAAGAAAAGAAAAAAGAAATATGAAAAAAGAAAATAACTTGAGTGGTGGGATTCGAACCCATGACCATAAAATCGAAAAAAGGTTGGGACGATTCCCCCGAGACATTCTGTGAAGCTGAGGCGGCGAATCGATTTACATTCCGGTTAGAGATTTCGGCTCTTCCATGCTATCCCGATAATTGGTCCTAACTTCGCGCTAACTAAAAAGCCAGTGAGGGAGAAGCTATCCGGCCCCTAGACACTGATGGATAACCCCTTGCACTAACTAGGCAACTATCGAAAGTATAATGTCAAATTGGGGTAGTCTATTCGGTGAAAGTGTCAAGTGGTCTATTATTATGTAAATGAGAGTGATCCAGTGGCGCACCGCGTTAAGGCGCCGCTTGCAAATCCAATGTAGGTTTGACGGTAGCGGGATCGATTCCCTGGAGGAGACGTTTAATGATTTTGTTTTTTCCTTTTTATTTAATTTATTGTTTATCTTTTTTTTATTTATTTATTTTTGCATAATTA